AAATGAAAGAGTATTTAGGAAGTTTGGTTCACGTGAATATCTAAATGTAAAGGGTTTCTATCCTTAATTTTAAGAAATGGGTAAACTATACCTTTGGTCCCTCATCTATTAAACATAATTTAAAACTATCACTTAGGTCTAAATTGATTTGGGAGATCTAATGAACTTGATTTACGGGTTTCGGGTTAATTCAAACTACTGACCCGAAAATCGGAGTATTACATTGGGGGCTAAGACTGATGGTGGTGATGGCTCGGTGAATGCGCAGGTGGCATTATAGACGAAATGCCATGGTCATGGGAGGCAAAGCTTGAGGAAATATCTGAGTAGACACTGTAAAGCTGCTCAATAAGAAAAGAGAAAGCTGCAGAAGCAAAGCAACTTTAGCAGCCTATGTAAAATCCATAGTTTTAGTTAAGCTATAGAGAGAGAATTGGTTAAGCTGTAGAGAGAGAGAGTTGAAGAAGAAGAAGACCCTTGAGTTTTACACTTGGATTTCTAAGGGGTTTTTTTCATTTTTTTAAATAGATCAATATCGTAAGGGACCAAACGTAATTAATTAAAAAATTGATAATCAAAATCGATCAGACCAAAAACAAATAAAATTATTGATATAATTTTCTAAAATAAAATAAATTTTGTTTTAGAACTCGTCACCCCTCACGAGTTCACCCTTCACTGTAACAAATATCGTAAATTCCAAAATAAAATCTAGATCATCTATTGGGACAAATATTGGAAATCCCAAAATAAAATTTAGAATGTCCTATTAAGCTAAATAATTTATCCACCTGAATTATTACCCTGATTTTACCCCATTAGATCGATTACAATGATTTTTAGTTTCATTTTCTAAAAATATTATGACTTTTTTTTTAAAGAAAATTACAATTCTAAAATATTTTAATAATCTTAAAAAATATTAGTTTTCATGTATTTTTACAAATCCAATAACGTATATGACTTATAAACAAGGATCTCAAAATTTTCATAATAAATACGATATTTGATTCTTTTAAAATATCTCAATGAATAAATAGATAAACAAGCCGGGAGGTCCATTAATATGTCGTAACATTGTTCGCTATGGGGCCACATATGTTGACACAACACCATTACCGATTAAGAGAAGCTAATACCTTTGCAACAATATGCAGAGATCCTGTGACCACAACAATACCTGATCCATTCCTTGTTCTTTCTCTAAGAATTTGATTAGCAAGCCTCAAGGAATCCGACAGCGACTTCTCGGCAGCCAATACGGTTTCATGTTTTGAGTCCCGTGTCGAAAAACTAAACTTGTCCTCAAACAGTTCTCCATACTCTATCATTCTATCATGAAGAACGTTGACGCCCAATTCTCTGGAAGCTTGCATCCAACAATCTCTTAAAACGGAAGCTGAGGTGGTTCGAGATGTGCCACCGGCAATGTCAACTTCTGTTAGGAAGATTGCATCTAGTTGTCTACCTGTGAAAGTATGGTAAAAATGGCAGTTAAATCCTTCCAAGATCTATCGAATACGATGACACCCAATTCGAGAACCGTCACAAATCGGTTTATACCTGAAAGGAACTCTTTAGCAAATGCTAACTGGTCTTTGTCACTTGCCATTGCAACAACAACAGCCAATCGTGAATCCGGAAATGCCATTTGTATCATTTCCAATAAAGCTTTTGCGGAGTCTTTTGTGTGAGCTAAAAGAAAAAAAAATGCAGTCAGGACTACTTACATTAAGAAGAGTTTCATTCAAAATATGCATTGGAATTAATATTAATTTGATAGATTACAAGAAAAGGCAGTTAATCGTAATTTCTCGGCTGGCCCATCTAAAACGAAAAGTAGAACTCAGAAAAAGAGAGGAAGAACCTCCATCAAGTAATATTATTGATCCCGATAATCCTAATTTCTCAGCTTCTTCGGATGTTAGAAATTGGCTTCTTCCCGGCACAAATGTATTCTCCAAGCCAGCCCGAATAGATCCATCTGAGATTCTCCATCCTGAAGTATGCATGAAATCATCCAAAGGAACAATAAGAAATAATAAAAGAGGACAAAAACTCAACCGGACTGAGCAAAGCATTGGTCACTTATCCCAAGCGGTATTCAAGCTTCATCATTAATTAAAGTTTTGTTTCCAGGCTATTCACGAGTTTCTCTGAGCCTGAGTAGAAATCATCCAATCGGAATAACAAAGATTGCCGATGAGAACTTAGCTGAGCGGCAAGAGGAGGCTTTGAAACTTTGAGGTCTCGGGTTCAAGTCCCTCCATATGTAGGTTTGGCATTTATATTTGAGTTGTCCAGTTGTATCATGGTTAGTTAGTTTGATAGTTCAGTTAGCTATTCCGTGATATACGGATGTAATGATTGATCATATCAATTTTAACTTTCTAATAGTTGTAATTTCAACAAAAAAAATAAGAATCAGAACAACAAAGATTAAGCACCTACCTTGATTGTGTAAGCAAAGGGCTGCGCATGTTGCAGTCACTGCATTTTGAAGTTGATGAGTTCCGAGCATGGACAGATTTAGATCATGTAACTCGATGGACTGTGTAGATTAAACAATAATAAGTTCACTAAAATGATTCAAAATACAAAAATGAATTAATATTCACAGCATAGTGCTTGGAAGAACATACCAACTGCAAGTCATGGTCAAGTTGTATCACCAAGTCACAACATTGGGAAGGTCTACCCTTAAACATGTTGATTCCTTTTACCGATGTTCTAATTCGACCATCAGATGCTGATATTATAGGTGAACACATTGAAGATGCTCTCTCCCGAAGAATGCAATCAATGTGGGGAAGAAAAGGCCCGCCTAAAATCAACTGAAAATTCGAACCAGGTGTCAATTTGAATGGAGAAGACTCATGAATGCAAAAGTTATCATCACTTATCTATGACCAGCCTTCAAATTCACCTATCAAGCAACAATCCGTTGGTCTAAAAGCTTCAGAGAATACATATAAAAGTGGTATGGTAGAGCACACATATATGTACGAAGAAAACAAGCATCATATACCAAAGTTTTGATTCGAATCATGGTTCTGAGTAAGAAAGATACTAAATGGAAAGCTAAAGATTGAATCCAATCCACTCAAAGCACACATAAATATAAAACGAACTTTTTTTCAGGTAAAATCACCTAACTGGACGACCGTTTTTAATGATTCCAGCTTTTGCCATTGCAATGCTTTCCAAAGAACCCCCAAGTGCAGCCAAATGTTCCTCGCCGATTGTTGTTATGATAGACACAGCAAGGTCAGAACTAGAAATAATGTTCGTAGCATCCCTAGCACCTCCTAATCCAGCCTATCTCATTACAATTAAACCAAAGAAGTGAAAAAGGAACGGTAAGTCTAACACAAGCACGAAGACTCGCCAAAAAGAAGATTTATTGGGGAAATGAAGCAACCTCTATGATTGCAATGTCAACATTCTCTTGAGCAAATAAAGAAAACGCCACAGCAGTAAGGACCTGAAAACAAGCTAAACAATGCAGCTTCCTTCGAAGAAAACGGCATTACACGGTACAAAAACAAACGCTTAATACAAATGTAAATCAATACGAACCTCAAAGTGACTAAGACATCCATTTTCAAGCATAATAGCCTCATCAAGACTTTGCTTAATCCTACCGAAAACGCTATTCAGCGTGTTCGAAGACACAGGCTCCCCAACCCTTCCCACTGACATACGTTCCCTTATGCTAAGCATATGTGGACTGCTTAAGCATAAAAAGATTGCAAATCACATTATTGCAACGTCATCCAAAACGGCAACCAAATATGTAAACAACAAACATAAAATGCAATCATTTTCTGTTTCACTTACCTAGTATAACAACCAACCGAGTAACCTTCTGAACGTAAGATGTTCGATAGATAAGCTGCAGTGGATCCTTTCCCTTTAGTCCCAGCAATGTGAACACTCTATAATCATTTCAAAACATACATAAATGTATATATGTATAATGTCGGCATTGATTTAAAAGAGAAGGAAAGAGATAAACAAAGGGAGGAGGACATGCCTTGAAGTTGGACTGCGGGTTGCCGAGTCGTTTCATAAGGCGTCTCATTCGACCCAAATCGAACCCATCATCGGAATCGGTGCCGGCGTCTTTCGGGACGCCGTATTTCTCGTAGTTTTTGAGAGAATCGATGTACTGGGTGAAACCCTTGAGCTCCGGGTCCGGTGAGTATGACGAGAGCCATTGTTTCGGTTCCAATTGGACGCTTCTCGTGGGTTTTCTGTGAGTGAGAGTGAAGTATTGGCAGTTGATAAGCTTACGGATTTTCATTCCTTTGTGAGATATTTTTCCGTTTGTTTCCCAGGAAAGATGCCGCGAGGACAACTATAAAATCGTGGCTCACCGAGTCATCGATTACTTTACTCAGTACAACAATGGCGTCGTTTCATTGGCTTCGCTAGCGATATAATGAATTTAGGGTAAATTACGCATTTAATAGTTAAACTATCAGTTTTGATCCGTTTTACTTAAACTTTCAATTTTTTTTTATTAAAATCATGCATAATATTTAATTTTTTATTTTAGTATTTATTATTAAAAAATTTAACGCTTTTACTATCTAAATTATCAGTTTTGATCTATTTTAGTACCTAAATTTTTAATTTTTTCAAAACTTAACATTAAATTTTGAACGAAAATACTAAAATGAAACAAAAATTAAAGATTTTAACGATAAAATACTAATTATATTAAAATGAAACAAAAACTAAATTTTATGTATGGTTTTGAAAAAATTAAAAGTTTAATTATTAAAATAAACCAATACTAATAATTTATAACTAAACATATAATTTACCCATGTATTTTATTAGGGTTTTCTAGCTAACTATTCCACTATTAACAATTTATTCTTTCTAACTTAAAAAAATTACAAAATAATCCTCCAACCTTCCTATTTTGTCTCTTATTATCTCTTACAATCTCTTACAATCTTACTTGGCACTTCTTTAAAAAAAAAATCTTACTTAGCACTCTTTCCCTTTTATCTCTTACGTAGCACGCTTCCCCATAATTCCAGAAAATTTACTATACATATATATATATAACTGTATATTGGGAGCTCGAAAGCTGCTGCATTTCATTGTAAGTTTCCATCTTTACTTTCAATTTTAATTTGCTCTTACTGTCTGTTTGGTCTCCGAGAAATTATATCAAAGAAAAGAAAGCAAACAAGGAAATTTTCAGTAAGTTTGGTTTTTAACTTTCTGAGTTCCGGGAAAACAACAACAACAACGAGTTAAAAATTCAAGCTTACTTGTTTTTTATTTCTTTAGAAATATTAGGAGGAGAATTTGGGTTTCCTGTTCTGAAATATGCTTGTTGTACTGTTACCCGTGTTTAGCATTCTATGAAACCTAGCTGAAGCACATTATTTTTAAACCCAAATTGTCTCTTTAAAAACAAATTTCTTGAATATAATAACCAGGTAGGTGCTTGAGATTGATGATGGAGACGAATTTGGAGGAAGCTGAGGAAAAAGTTCCAAAAGCTGAGCTTGTTTACGATAGAGAGGTGGAAAAATGTCGATGTGGTGAATTAGAAGCGAGGAGCAAGAAAGCCGAAGCACGGTGTCTGGAGCTTGAATTGGAGATTCGAAAGAGGAAGAGCGGGTATGAAGCTCTTGAGACTAAAGTTAGGACATTGGAAGTCGCTAAGCTTGCACTTGAGGATGAAATCAAGATCTTGAAGTGCCCAAATAATGAAGTTAGTGATCGAATAAGCCATATCGGTGATGAAAGGGTTGTTGGTTATGGAGAGAAAGGGTTGATTGAGGGAGCTGTTAATCTGACCGAGGAGAGTGATGAGGAAGACAAGGTTTTTCAGCTGATGGCTGAGAATAAGGTTTTGGAATGCGAGAAAAGTACGGCAGAGAACGAGGCTGAGGTCTGGAAGCGAAAGTTCAAGGAATTAGAATCATTGACATCACAGCTGCAAAAGAGCTTGGTTTTGAAAACCGTAGAGCAGCCGTTCGATACGAACAACCCTGATGTGAACAAAACAAATGGTGGATCCACCTCAAACGACATGTCGGTAATAGTTGGAGCACCGAGTATAGTGGATTCTGTACCTGCTCTGATTTCTCCTGGTAAAGGCACTGGAAATCTGCAACCAGCTGGTAATGATGATTCTTTTCTCTGCATTGTGATTTATTTCTGATATAGTGTAATAGGTAGCACGTCATGATTCACAATCTTTATATCTGATTTTGTATCAGGGACGCCTTCTAATGGCACACCTTATAAGGGTGATTACAGGACACGGAGTAGTAAACGAGTTAAAAGACCGTTGTCGTTTCAAGGGGAAAGAAGCCCCAATAAACAGATGGCTCCTTCCACTCCAGCAGGTGTTAAACTTGCTTCGGTTGGCATTATCGATATTCATGATAGTGATGATGAACCTGCTGTGGATAGTAACCTTTTAAGTAAGCACGAATTAGAAGGAACTGTGGATTGTGAAAATGGAACTGGGGCTATCGTCGAATGGAACCAAGAAGAAAAAGAGGGTAGTTATGTGGATAATGTTTCGTTTGTTTCAGTTCACAAAAGAAAACGAGCCTTTAATATTGTTACTAGTGACTCGGAGAGTGATAAAGACAATGTTCCAATTGGGGAGCTCAGGAGGATGCTATGCAAGGAAGTGGTTCCTGCTGTTACTACCCCTGAAATTGACAAAGGCAGAGGCACTTTCACTACTCGAAAGCGGAGACTAGTATTATGCAGTCTATCTGAAGGAAAAGAGAAAAATTGCTCATCAAGAAACAATAGTGGAAGTAGATTCATCGAAGGAACCCCTACAACTAAGGATGTTGAAGATGATGACTCAGATGGGATCGGGCCAGAAAGTAATAGTGAAAGTCATAGTCTGAATGGTTTCATTGTTAAGGACTCTAACACTACGGATTGTGACGATAGTTGTAGCGAATTACAAGATGGTTCTGATCGTGACAATGCTTGTAGTGGACAGGAAGATGTTTCTGGTGGCTGTGGGGCATGTAGTGACTCGAAAGATGCTTCAGATGATGAAGTGGACTTTGATGTGATTCTCTCTCAAATTAGAAGGAACAAGGATCATAAATCAGATTGGAAATTTGAGGGAGAGCTACTTGCAGCCTTTGGCAAGGATCCGGAACTTTGCATGAAGGCTGTATGTGCTCTCTACAGGCAGCAAACATCGGGGGAGAAGCTTTCCAAGGCAACATTATGCCAAAATCAGAGAGGTTTTAGTAAATTCGATGCTTACAGGTGTGAATTCAAATGCTTATGGTCGGTCATAATGAACTTTTGTCTGTTGAGAACGAGTTGAAAGTGTACACTGTCATTTGCATGTTCAGTACACCATGTTATTGCATAGTGCTTTGCATTTTATGTGACTATTTAAGAAGACAACCTCGTTTCGGCTTTAGTTATTTGACTATTTGTTGTAGGGTTTTTCTCGTTCGGCATGGTCTAGACTATAGCGTCATTGTTGCCATACATCATCTTGCAGCAGCTGACTTGTATTCCTGTTGTCCTGCAGGGGCTGTACTTTGGCAGAGTTTCTAACTGATGGTGACCCGAAAGGTGATGTAAAGAAATCTGTGGAGGAGTTGGAAGCATATGATCCGAATGGAGTCGAGCTGTGCAGAAATCTCGCAACCCGATACTCTAAGCAACTGTTTGGGATCTACAAAAGCAAAGAGGACCCATATTTTCTTCATCCTTAATCTTCCCTGCAACTGATCAATTCAAAGAAAGCACGTGCTCTAGTGCTGGGGAAACGAAACTCCGTTCTCTTCTCTGTATGAATCCGCTATCTTCAAGTGTTACGTGAACATATGTAATCTGCATAAAAACGTAACATGTGTGGAACTGCCCTACAGCAATATCATAGTATTTATTGTAAGGGAAAAGTTGCACTGAAAAGATAGAAGCTTAGAGGCTCCTTAGGATGTTAACTCTGCTTCAGTGCGTTGAAGGCAAGAAATTTTCAACTGAACCGCACCATGAATTTGTGGTTTGTTTCATACACGTGGGGTATTTTAATCTCAGTTGCCCTCAGTTTTTAACTAGAGCTTAAAGATCCAATTTAGAGGTGTTCAAAGAGTTGAATAGTTCGTAAACAGAATGTCTCTGTCAAAATTCGATAAAAGGTTGACTTGACTCGACCTCAAGCTCAACACTTGAATCAATAATGGAGAGATTTTGATAGTTTAGATATTGCATGAAATAAATTAAAAGAAAGAAATGACTATTAATAAAAGTAAATTAGTCCTCTTTTGTTCTCCAATTTAAGAGGTTAAAACTGTGTAGAACTGCGCGAACCTCAGCAAAAGGTATTTAACCAAACGATTCAAAAATTATCCGCTCAACTTTGAGCATCGGCAACCAAAGTAACATGAACAACAAAATTGTGCATGGAACTGAAAAACTCATTTGCCACCTTGGTGAGTATCAAGACCTTAGATGAGGACTTTGGGCGATGAAACCGCTTGTTATTTCCGACAACCTATGGTATGTACGATCAAAACATTAGAAGTTAAAACCTTGAACACCTATATGAAAGGGATCTACACCACCAAAATTCGCATATCAGTCCGCATATTCTACTGCGTATCCTTATCCACATCAACTTTCAAACGAACTGGCAGCAGCTGCTGTGCTTTTCTAGGTCATGAAGTCGCATAATGGTGATGTAGAACATACTTCACTACTTCATAAAACGAAACCACGATACCGAGGGACCGGCACGGCCTACACGAAAATTTCATGTGTAGGCTGTTTGTTGTGTTGGGTTCTTTGAGAATTATTAACCATTCTAACTGTAAAGAATGAGCTGTTGAAAAACGGGCAGGGAGACTTGTTATGTAGGGAACTGAGAGCATACGCATTATGATTTATAAGATGGTATGCATGTGATTGCGAGCGAAAATGCAATCAGCTAGGCAATTACTCAGCTTCAAAGTGGAGTTTTGCCATATATACATATGGATGCTCTTACTCTCATTTTTACTTGAGGTAACCGTGTGCCATGTTTGATACCCGTCTCCATTGCATATCTGTACATGGGTATGGTGCTATGACCCTCTTTGTATATGAAATTAAATAAACAAGAAACACCGACCATACTCGTGTTCGGTACTAACTCTCAAGTTCAAGTAACTTATTGCTAAATGGTGGCTCTCCCGAGGGAGCGAACAATGTTTTTTATATATCTTAAGAAAATGTTATGGGGATGTGCACGATGCTAGCCATTATGTCTCACCCAAAAACCTTTACTGTACACCAAACAGTCCATCCGGACAGAATCTAGTGTCACACAAAGGGAAGTATTCTAATATGCTAATCGAAGTTCTGGTTTCTAGCTTCAAATATGCAAAGAAAACCCTGAATTTTGACCATATGGGTGGGATACTAAGCAATGCAGCTATATTCACAGTCAGCATGATAGCAATGATGCATCTGCAACAGCTTGCTCTTTCAGCATGATAGGTTTAGTTACTCAAATTAGAGGACTAGATTAATTAACCAATCTTATATTAAGTGTTAAATTTGACTTTATACCTACCTTCTAATTACTATGGTTATTGACTCAATAATCATATTGGATCTAATATAATATTTAAATTATTCATTGATTTTTACGTTTATAAATTAGTTTATTATAATATGAAAAATTCTACAGCGCTCGACAAGCGGCGATGAGCATCAATAACGATGAGCACCGATAAATTAATTTGTAAAACGATAAAATTATAAGGTACCCAAAATATAATTATATTTTAGCTAAAATATAATTGTAATTTTAAGGAAATCACAGCTTTAAAAAAATAAGCGTTTATTTAAAATATTAAAAAAACAAAGGTAAATTATACTATTGACCGCCTAACTATTTAGTCATTTTACTTTTACCAAAAATCTTTTAATTTTGTCAATCAAACCACTTAATTATTTAATTGTATTCAATCAAGGCACTTGACGTTAATGTCTAACGAAAATGTTGATGTGGCAGTTAATAAAATCGGTATAATTATACATTTAGTCTTCAATACTTATACATTATATAAATTTGGTCCTAAAATAAAATTTAATTCAATAAATTTAATCCACCAATTAGATGGTGAAACATATCACCATTAGATTAAATATTTTTTTATAATTTAAATTTATTAATTTATATATTTATCTTCCAACCAAATGGTTAAATAAAAATCAAATGGGAAATAATGGCTAAAGAAAAGGGGCATGGTGGGGATCAAACTTGGGTCCTTAGGGGAGGTAGGGCTGTTAATGAAAAATTAATTGTATCGTTTAGTCTAACAGTCGGTTAACCATTATAACAATTATGAGTTTTTTCTAACTGTAAGCTAACATTAAGAAACGGTTAATCGGTAATGATTAACCGTTATTAATGGTTCGATTACAGGTTAACCTATTACAATTATTTGTCAATTTTTTTTCATAATTCATATTACAAAAAAATATAGCACTTAACACATACTTACACCGGTGTAAGTGAAAGAAAAAAATAAGTGTAGCACTTAACACATACTTACACCAATGTAAGTGAATAAAACAAAAAAGTGTAACACTTGACACATACTACACCAATGTAAGTGAATAAAATAAAATAAATGTAGCACTTGACACATACTTACAACGATGTAAGTAAACAAAATAAAAAAGTGTAACACTTAACACATACTTACACCGATGTAAGTATGTACATCTGTCAATATCTTAGTACCTAACAATAAACATATAATTCTATTGGTGTAAGTATGTTTCTATATTTTCAAACAAATAAAAAATTAATATATATATATATATATATATATATATTAAGTTATTTGTATACAAATGTTATTAAAAATATATATATTATAAATAATAGAAAATTATATTAAGTTATTTGTGTAAAAATATAATAAATTATAAGTATAATTATTAATTTAATTTATTAACAGTTAACGTTGGTTAATCATTTATCAACATTTATAACCATAACCTTAATCGTTAAACATCATTTTTAGCGGTTCAGTTAACTGAAACAGTTTAATATAAATGGTTCGATTAATTAATCTATTAAATAAAAACGGTTATATTGATTAACAATTTTGATTTTTTTTAACACCCCTAAGAGGAGGTTTGCACGCGCCTTACCACTTGGCCAAACTCCATGTTTGTCTTTACAATACCATATATATTTGTTAATGTGAGGGGAAAAATACACCCACGCTTATATATATATATATATAAGTGATTATTAAATTCGATGAGAATGTATCAAAATAAAATAAATTTATTTTTAAAAAATCAGTAAAAAATAATTAAAATACAAATAATTCATACATTTTATTTTTAAAATAAATGTTTGTTTGACCTGATATTGTAATATGTATATTTAAATTTAAATTTAAAAATGAATTAAAATATCAGTATATAAATCTTTTTAAATTTTTTTTATCATATTCATTTTTCTTTTCTATTATCTGAATATTCATTACATATTTCAGATAATTTTCAGTCCAACTATAAGATAAGGGTAATAAAATTTGTCAAATAAATTTGCTTCCCATGAAAAAACCAACCTCACTGTCGGTAGGAAGTAGCCACCTTGTAATTTTTTACACTTTAACCAGTTTCACAATAGATGCAGAATTTTTTTATTATGAATAAATTTAAATTTATAAAATTTATAAAATATACATAAAAAAACTTAAAATATATAATGAATTTAAATTTTTAGGGGAGGATGACCGCCTGTATGTCCGCCTAGATCTGTCTAGGATCACTTTCAACCTTCGATTGTTCTGCTTCGACCGACCAGCCTGCAAATGTATATGCCTCTCCATGCGCTCCGGGGCAGGTACTATATTACTGTCGAATGAATATAGTCCAGTTGATACTTGATCATGATGTCCACGTGGGCATAAAAATAAGGAGCAAAACAAATGCTTGAGTTGATAGGGACATCAATTGGGTACAGAACTCCCCATACTAATTTCACGTGTCCACCACCTGATTGTGTATCGGGGCCCCTATTTTTTTTATTAGGGTCAGGACCCACCTTGGAAAATCGAAATGCCCCAAAGTCTTAAGCCATGTGAGTGGGCTCAGACCATCAAATTGATTTTGTGGACCAATGAGATTACACTGCACGGCTGCTATTCACTCTACGCTCTACACGTGGTTGCTGTTTAATCCTAGAGAGCGAAATTTCAACCCTAACCCTATCGAAGTCCAAAATCAAAAGTCGTGAAGGTAAGGTAATGTCAAAATTTTCTTTTTAACTCATAAAAAATGATATAATTTTAATTTAATTTATTCAAAACTAAATTAAAATAATAACATAATTTTCTTTTTAACTAAGTTATTCACTTACTCCCCCACGAACATATAATAAGAGAGACTAAGGAAATGCAGCCTAAAAGGGTGGAGTGTTTACGGAGTTAATTTAATAGGATGAAACGATATTTTTTTTAATAAAGTTAGAGGTTTATATTTTTATATTGTAAATGAAGTAAACTGACATAAAAGAGTCGTCTTAATATATATTATTTCAATATTTTATTTAAATTAATTAACTAATATATCGACGTAGGTCAAAGACTATTATTTTAATTAATAAGAAATTAATGATGATGATCTTAAATTTTAGGGTTGATTGATAAACAAGGGGTAAGATCAGTTGACATACTAATTGTGGGCAAAAGCCGCCCATCCATTGTTCAACTTCAGCCATATTCCCTTTGACGAGAGACATTAGTAACATTTATCTATTTGCAAAACGAAAAAGAGTTTATGTAAACTGATGTATCATTTCATATGCAAAAATATTTGGGTAAATTAGCGTTTAGTACTTAAATTATTAGTTTTAGTATGTTTTAGTACCTAAATTTTCAGTTTTTCAAAATCATATCTAAAGTTTAGTTTTTGTTTCATTTTACTACTCCGTTCAAAATTTAACGTTAAATTTTG